AATCTCAAGACCCACCTGCGACTCCACTCCGGAGAGAAACCTTACCAATGCAAGGTGTGCCCCGCCAAGTTCACCCAGTTCGTGCACCTGAAACTCCACAAGCGCCTACACACCCGGGAGCGGCCCCACAAGTGCGCCCACTGCCACAAGAGCTACATCCATCTCTGCAGCCTCAAGGTCCACCTGAAGGGGAACTGTCCTCTGGCCCCGACCACAGGGCTGCCTTTGGAGGACCTGACTCGAATCAATGAAGAAATCGAGAAGTTTGACATCAGTGACAATGCCGACCGGCTCGAGGACATGGAGGACAACATCGATGTGACCTCCTCTGTGGTGGAGAAGGAAATCCTGGCCGTGGTCAGGAAAGAGAAAGAAGATACTGGCCTGAAAGTGTCTTTGCAAAGAAACCTGGGGAATGGACTCCTCTCAGGGTGTAACCTCTATAAGTCATCAGACCTGTCCCTCATGAAGTTGCCTCCCAGCAACCCACTACCTCTGGGACCTGTCAAGGTCAAACAAGAAACAGTCGAACCAGTGGATCCTTAAGATTTTCAGGAAACAAAAAGTGTCTTATTTTGTTTCTTAACTTACGACGTGGAACAAGTCAGGGTGCCTGTAGCAGATTCCTTGTACATAGACCCAGGGCCGCAAAGCTCTCCCTCACCTGTCTGGAATTGAAGAAGGAGCTCCAGAGTTACTGAAATCTCAGGGCATAAATGAGCAAAGACAATATATTATACATATTATATATACTTATTTACCCCCATATATATATATATATATTTGAACCTGTGTATTTTGAATATTTTGTGTGAATATGTTTGCATAGCTTTCCCCTTGCTAAGAATATTGCCTAGCCATAATTATTTTTTCAATGATATTAATCCTTCATAATTTATTATACAATTTACCATTTAAAAAGCAATAATTAAAAAACGTTTACAATGACTGGAAAAATTCCTTGTAATTTGAGTATAGATGTTATATATGTTTGTCTTGTGGCCATTCTTTGTTAAACAATCTCTGCACATCTGTTAAAGTACCTAAGATTTAGTAATCAAATACATGACTTCAGTTAACCTCCTTCTGTAATAATGGTTTGAAAATGCGGTTTTGGTATTGCCAACAATGGACAGCTGATGTGTTAATTCATAGGATCATGTCATTTGAACAGCATTGTATAACTTGGGGGTATGTGTGCAGAATTACCCGGTAATAACTTCCAGTAGAATAAACAAGAAAGGGAATCTTGTATGTTTTTGTAGATAGTGCGTTTATTTTCCCCCTAGCCACAGAGTTACTAGAAAGGTGACAACCTGTCTCCCTCTCCAAAAAGCAGGGTCACCGCACCCCCAGAGTCATGTGACCATTCAGAGTGGCCCCATGACTTTTGCATTCCCACCTTATTATCTGAAAATGTGAAGAAGACAAAATGCCATGTTTAAAACCACTGCGAAGCATTTCCAAAGCACAGATGGTTTTGTGTGTGTGAGGTTTAAGGGCTTGAGTTTGGGTGATGTTTTTGTTGTTAGGTTTTTGTTTGATTTGTCATATTAAAATTGTACAAACATGGTGCTCCACCAGGAAGGATTTGAGGTAGATGGGCTCAGGCCACACTTAAAAACAAAAAAAACAACCAAAAACGGGTATTGTCGTTGTCTTAGGGTCAAAGCGGGTAATGAGCATTCCTATCCCCAACACATCAATTGTATTCTTTCTGTAAAACTCCGATTTTCCTCAGTATTTGTGTTTTTACATTTTATGGTTAATTTAATTGAAGATGAAAGGGCATTGCAAAGTTGTTCAACAACAATTACCTCATTGAGTGTGTCCAGTCATGCAGGAAATGATGGCTTATCTAATGATTTGCTACTCCAGATGAAACTAAGTGTGCTCCGGAAAGATCGAACAAGGCCATTCTATCTCTTACTCTGCTTAGCCCAAAGATGACATGTCGGCATTCAAGGTGTAGCAAAGAATGATGTATATTTATAAGTCTATTTATACCACTATACCATGTATATATAATATATTTATAACCACTTAAATTGTGAGCCAAACCATGTAAAGAACCTACTTTTCCTAAGGGCAAGAAAAGACCAAAAAAAAAAAAAAAACCACAAACAAAACCCCTTTCTGAGACTTTCTTTAGCACTCAATGACCTCACAATCATATTGATGAGCTTGGGCACCCCTCACTATTTGTAAAAGACCCTAAAACCTTGGTACAAAGGTGGGGACTGCATCATAACCAGGGGAAAAGAGATTGCTTTTTTACTATTAAGGACAATCTAAGATGGCTTTATTTTTGTTTTGCCACATTATGATTATGTGGTCATACCCAATTATGGAAATAAAAATTCCATTATTACTCCTTTATTATTGTAATTTTTTCTCTCTTCCTCTCCCTCCTTCCTAAATTGCTGGTGTATCACTTGTCAATGCGGTTTATATATGTATATGCAGCATTTTGTTCATGGCAACTAATGCCAACTTGCAGAAGAGAACAACAAATGTAGGATAATCCAGGGAAACACACGAGCCTTAGTGATCTGTTCCCATAAGGAGTGAAACCGGCAGTTTATTATGTATCAGTATTCGACAAACTTGGTTTGGTCCTTACTACAGATAAACCAAAGCATCATACTGACATTGACACCAAATGCTTTCTATTCCCAACCGTTCATTTGTCCTCTCCCCCTTCTGTGCTTGCTTACATGGGGGAGTTTTTACCAAGACCTGCGCAGTGGCTGAGACTTCCTGCTTCTCTGTAGTGTCTGACTTTCCCTCCACGGCCTCTTACATGTGAATGTTGGGCCCACAATCAGCAGTGGTTCTATTTTTTTCCCTCTCAAAGTCAAAACTGACCAAAGTTACTGGCTTTTTACTTTTCTAGGACAACAGACTATCTTATGTTTACTTACTGGTTTACATTGTTATTTATGTGCAAGTTGTCAAAATGTAAATTAAATATAAATGTTGATGCTCTACCAATGCTTGTCTAGCGTCTTGAGTGAGGGGCCAGTGAGCGACATCTTCACCACCCTACAAACATGGCCCTAGAACAGATTTTGAACGTGAAACAATTGGTCTCTCTCCTGCCCCCCCGCCCCCCCAGCAAGGATTTCCTCATATCTCCATCAGGGATAGCACGTGGCAGTGACGGGAAGAGTTGATCTGTTATATCTCTCATAACTCAATGGTGTAAGCTTTTTCTTGAATTATGAGCTATAAAAGTGTTCTCTTAAGGAAAATTTTCAAGCATTAGCCAGTAAATGGGGGAAGCTTTGTTTGTTTTTACTGGATTTTTGTTTATTTGTTTTACTTTGTTGATGGGCATGGGGTGGTGGGGTGTGTGTGTAGACCCAGCCCACTCATGGGTGGGGGGCCTCAGGGAGTCCCCAGGAAGCTGAGTCAAGGAACACCTTGCCCATTGGTGACAGTCACTTTCGCTTCAGTAGCTAGCACTGAGGGTGCCACCGAGAATAAGGCCTTTTTGTGCTCTGCATGGTCTTCCTGCCCTACCTCCTATGGTATTTTTTTTCTTCACAACTTGGGAAATAGGATTGCCACTTGTGTAATTCAATTCAAGAAAGCTTCTGTTTTACCAGAATTGGCCCCCCTCCTGCCCCCCCGCCCCCCCAGCAAGGATTTCCTCATATCTCCATCAGGGATAGCACGTGGCAGTGACGGGAAGAGTTGATCTGTTATATCTCTCATAACTCAATGGTGTAAGCTTTTTCTTGAATTATGAGCTATAAAAGTGTTCTCTTAAGGAAAATTTTCAAGCATTAGCCAGTAAATGGGGGAAGCTTTGTTTCTTTTTACTGGATTTTTGTTTATTTGTTTTACTTTGTTGATGGGCATGGGGTGGTGGGGTGTGTGTGTGTGTGTGTGTAGACCCAGCCCACTCATGGGTGGGGGGCCTCAGGGAGTCCCCAGGAAGCTGAGTCAAGGAACACCTTGCCCATTGGTGACAGTCACTTTCGCTTCAGTAGCTAGCACTGAGGGTGCCACCGAGAATAAGGCCTTTTTGTGCTCTGCATGGTCTTCCTGCCCTACCTCCTATGGTATTTTTTTTCTTCACAACTTGGGAAATAGGATTGCCACTTGTGTAATTCAATTCAAGAAAGCTTCTGTTTTACCAGAAGCCAGGCATTGTTAGTGTGAAACCCAGGGATCATGGCAGTGTGACCATGTGGCCCCAGGGGTCATATGGTGGTGAAGGGACCTATTTGCTTGTCCATTGATGCTCCAGAAACTAACCTATCTTCAGGCACAAATAAATTCGAATCTCATTTGAGAGATGTGAATAGAAGATGCTTCTAGAAAAGTGTTACTGCCTTCCATGGGAAAAAATCTAAAAGCTCTTTGCAAGTAGTTTCGTGCTTGCCATGTCATCCATTACCAAGTTCATGGTTCCATGTCCACCAACTGCATGTTCAGAAAGTAACGCTCCTTCTTACATGTGGACACTTGAAACTGCCTGATTTTTTTAATGTTTCTTCTTTATATCCACTTAAACATCTGTGCCAAGAACTTGAAATGCTGCCAACATGTAACTGTGGGGTTAAGAAAACCAGAACCCTATTGTCATAAACGTGCCAAATGGTGCTGGTTGCACTACTAAATTCTGCAGAACCATTGTGGTAATAATTTTTCAAAACAAAGCTCAATAAGACCCAGAGTGTAACAGTTACTGTCATAAATCATAGTTCTTTACTTGGCAGAGCATGTCTTTTTTTCTGGAGAGTTATATATCTTGGGAACACTTGGCTGTTGAATGAAACATTACATAAAAAGCTAACATTCACTAGGAGCACACGTCTACCCTGCCGGCCTCCACACAGTTGGATCGAGGCTTCATGCAGCTGTTTGTAGAGCAAGGACAAGACTGAAGAAATCACCATTTTCTGAGTCTTTCCTTTAAATAAAAGCTCTGTTCAGAAATGATGCATTCAATTCTCCACTATAAAGGAATATCTAGACTAATAAAAGAGAAACATGCAAATTGGTGTCACTCCGCTACACCCACCAGCCAATCAGAGCAATTATGCAAAATAACCTAACAAAGATGGTGGTTAATTTGCATATGCAGGCACAGAGTGAAGACTGAAGACAGTGTAGAAGGAAGTGAAGCACTGCAGAAGGGAGTGAAGCAGTGGAGAAGGGAGGGAGCCGAGGCAGCAGAGATGCGAGTGGAGCTGAGAGAGCAGACACGGGAGCAGAGTCAAGGCAGCGGAGATGGGAGGGAGGGAGGCCTCGGCGGGCTTCGCTCCCTTCTCTGCTTTGCTCCAGCCACAGGAAGCCCTATTCTTGCAGGAATCTTCCGGCAACAGGCTTCTGGTATAGAATAAATGGATATATGGTGGCATGGGAATTTATGGGCACATTTCTAGATTTCTCCCCCCTTTGGAATTAGGAAACCAATTTAGGACCCATTCATTTATCTAATTTTCTGTGTGTGTGTGTGTGTGTGTGTGTGTGTTTAGACTTTTTTTTAAAGGAGATAATAGGGAAAGGCCAGAGCAGAGAAAATGAAAATAAGGTAAAACCAGGCCTTTAGGGCGATCTGGAATAGAAAGGAAGGTTGAACCACAGAGGATGGCAGCTAAAAAAGTTAATAAGAAAGAATTTACAAAGAATGTGATTACTGAGCCAATTCGGAAAACCTTTTTTCTTTAGGAGACCATAGAGTTCTTTGCCCACAACATGTCCATTATCAACTTCTGGCCATTAATAACAAGTCTGATTATTCTGAATTCTGGCTACCCCTTCAGTGTCTACTTATGGGTACATAGCAGCTACAAGAAATGTTTCAAGACCTGGGGTAAGCCTTCCACCCACCACATCCTTTTTCAAGCTTCAAGTCCTCCAAAACCTCACGTCCATTTGCTCAAAGTGCTGCTGAGTGCTGCTCCTTAAATTAGGAGTGATTTTAATCTCCATACAGCCTTAATAATGTAATTTAAGCAAAAAAAATCTTAGCAAGATTTCAAAAAGGTATTTTTAACCTGATTTATGCAAGTACTCTCTATGCCCGGTTTCACAGAATACTATAAACTAACAAACTCTCTCCTAGTTAACTCCTTCTTCCAGGTTTAAAAGTAATGAACCAAGTTGGCCAGGCACACATTTCCTCCTCCCTGGATTTAAGATAGAAGCTTTAGTTTAGCATAAAGTCAAATGCAGTCACCTTGTGGTTTTCTCCCACCCCAACCAGAAAGGAAGAGGAGGTGATCGGTTAGTGCCAATGAATGATTTTGGGAAGAAATTCTCCCCGGTGTTAACGGGAGGGGGTTGTTCTCATGGGATTGTGACTAAGCTTCCCATCTTCGGGTATCTGGAGGTTTCACCTGTGGATGATGGCAAGCAGCTGTCCTACATTGCTGGTGAGGGGCAGAGCAAAGGAAAGGAAAGGAAACCCTAGGACTTTGGTTTAAACCGCAAACACTGACACCTATCTTTTGGGCTTTTTCCTTTCCCTGGAGGGAGGGAGTAGGGTCTCCTTCCTGGGAGGCCTTAGAGAGGAGTCAGGTTGTTTGGAAGCACAGATGTACCAGATGCTCTGAGAAGCCCTTCCTAGTTCTATAATTCAATGATTTCTAAAAGGTTATGGGTTCAATTCCCGATCAGGGCACATACCCAGCTTGCAGGCTCCATCTCAGGTTGGGGCTCTTGTGGGCAGCAGCTGATTAATGCTTCTCACATCAGTGTTTCTCTCTCTCTCTCTCTCTCCCTCCTCTCTTTCTCCCCCTCCCCCACCTTCCTCTCTATATAAATCAATAAAATAAAATAAAAGTTATTCCACATTTGAGTTCTTTCCAAGGATCCCGAAAGGGAGCATGGTGCCACTCTCACCTGGCATCTGGCATTCTGCAAAGCCACCTCTGAGCTAGCAGCCTTTCAGTGCAGTTACTCTGTGGGAAGAGAAGGGGTGCTCCCCACCTTGCCTCCTCCCATCAGCATGGCTTCCCTTGAGTGCTGTTTCCCATCCACACAGGCAAGGGGGAACACTGGTCCCCTTCCACGTAACCCTTCTTTGCCTCCAAGTTTTAGTACAAGTAACAGATAGTGAGTTGTTGAGACCAACCAACTAAGGATCATTAATGGGGTGATTTCACTCCTTCCATGGTTCCCTGGGCCAGAGTCTAAAAATACACCCGACCTGAGGTGGGAGCTGAGGTCATAAGCTCTCCCTGTGGTGGGAAGAGCAGCGAACCAGGGTGCAGACACTTGGTTCTAGCCCTGGTTCAGAGCCTTGATACCCGTGTGCTCTCAAGAAAGTCCTGGAACTTCCCTGGGCCTCTGTTTCTTGATCCATAAAATGAAGGAGTCATTCCTACTGTAAGTTGTCTTCCTGCTCTTCGGGAAGTACTACATCTCTCAGATGCGAAGATCCCATCGTTTTCTCTTATTTCCTTTGGGTTTGTTCTTGGAACTCTGATGGTTGCTATGGCAGATTGTGATTTAGACAGATGAAGCAGAGAGAGATGTCAGAGAAAATGGAAATGAGGGGGAGGCTTGTATGGAGAGAAATATTTCGGCTTCTTCTGGCAAAAGAGATTGGGCTTACGAAGGTCCTGCTAATTTGTGAGGACCAGGAACTTTCCCCAGGAACTAATATGCTCATCTGAAAGGAATCAAGATTCTTTTCATGGACATAATGGGTTGTGCTGAAGTCAGACCTCTGCTAGGCTTCTGCATGAATTCTAGGCTGTTTAGTTTAGTGGGTTCAAGGGGAGAGGGATTCTTCAAAGTTTTTAAGCAAAGGCATGCTTATAGGAGAGATTTAAGTTTGTTGCCACAAAAAGAAAAGGGAGACAACATGACTGGTAGCTAAAGAAGAGAACGAGAACCCAAGAAACGTGTTGGTTAGCAAAGCAATCGAGGCTTTAATAGTGTTCTAACGGTTCAAGGTTTTAAAAAGAGAATAAAGAAAAATGAAGCAGAGAGAGGGAGGAGGAGAGAGGGAAAGGTTAAACCAAGACAGA